TTAACAACAAGAAAACAGAAGTTCTCTACCAGCTAGCACTGCACCATCCATAAGTGGAACTGCTGATTACAGCAAATGGAGAAATTTTGGATGCTGTCAATAAGTTCAATTACCCTGCAGTATACTTTCCAGGGATGTACACACAGATGATGAAGCTGACACATGCATTGCCAGAGCTAGCTCAGTGTTTGGGAGGCTCTGAAGGAAAGTGTGGCATAGAAGAGGATGTCTACCAAGCTACAGATCTACAGAGCCACTGTGCTAACCTCACCGTTTTAAGACTGTGAAACCTGGATAGCATATCAGCACCATGCCAGGAATTGAACTGCTTCCATCTGAATTGTTTTAGGAAGATTCTGAAGATCATCTGGTAAAATAAGATACTAGTCACTGAGGTCCTTTCTCGAGCTGAGCTGCCCAGCATTCAAACTCTACTGCAGAGAGTGCAACTGCAATGGGCCAGCCATGTTGTTCAAATGCCAAACACACGTTTGTGTAAAAGACTATTTGACAGAGAACTCACACAAGGCAAGTGCTCACGAGGAGGTCAGAAGAAAAAATACAAGGATACTCAAGGTCTCTCTGAAGAACTCTGGTATCAATTGTGGGACACAGAAGACAATGGAACAGGACCGTCCAGTATGATGTGCCCACACCAAAGCAGGTACTGTGTTCTATGAGCAAAGCAGAATTGGAATAGCTCAAAAGAAACGTGAGATGCACAATTTTGGAGACATCTTCATCCCAAACGTTCATATGGCTATTTGTGCCTAACCTCTAATAGAGTTTTCCAACTAGTACTGGTCTGATCAGCTACAGTGGGTCACACTCTACACTGACCCTGACAAAGTGATGTCATTTTGATTGTCTTTGAGTACAATGAACAACCACCAACCAAGCCACCTAATCTGTTCTACTGATCAGCCTGATTTTTAATCAGTACCAAATAATTTTAATTATCACTACTCTGTAGAATAATTTGAGATCTGGTACTGATAGACTCTGTTGCTTCCCTTTTCCCCCCCATTATTTTCCTTGAGAATTTTGACTTTATTTTCTCCCAAATAAATTTTGACACATATGTATTTTTCAATTTTACAAAGTAATCATTTGGTAGTTTAGTACAGCACTGAATAAGTTAATTTTGGAAATACTGTCAATTTTATCTTGTTGGCTCATCCCAAGTAATTAAGTAGTATTAGTAATGAATAAGTAATTAATATTTTTGCTAATTATCAAGGTCTGTCCTTATTTAGTTTGATTCATAGTTCTTGGATGTATCTTGGTTGATAAATTTCCAAAAATTTTGTACCTATGGTGATAGACTTCCAAATATTTTATACCTTCTGTAGTCATTTTGAAATAGATTTTCCGTCTGGCTCTTTCTGGTCTGTTTTGTTGGTAATATACTGGTAATTTATATAGATTTAATTTATATACTGAAACTTTAGTTTATTGTTTCAATTAATTTTCTAATTGACTTTAGGGCTTTTAAAATAAATCATCATATCTGCAAAAGGTGATAACTGATTTCTTCTTTACCTATGCTTATTCCCTCAATTTTTCTTCCTTGTCGTACTGTTTTAATTTCCTTTTCTGGAATCATGTTAAATAGTACTTTGCTTTCCCCTTTATCCTATTGGTAAAGCTGCTAACTACTCCCTATTATATACAACATTTGCTCTTGGTTTTATACAGATGTTATTTACTATATTAAGGAAAGATCTATTTATTCTTATGTTTTCCAGAGCTTTTAACAGAAACTGTTAATGAATTTTATCACAAGTCTTTTAGGCATTTATTAATATAATCACATGGCTTTTATTTTTTATTATTAATATGATTTATTATATAGCTTTACTTATGTTATTGCATTCCTAGTATTAATATAACCTGGTCATAGTGTATAATCTTTCTAATATGTAATATAACTTATTTGCTAATATTTTATTTATTTTGCCTCAATGTTCATTAGGGAAAATGACCCAGTTTTTTCTCCTGCTTTATTTCTCCTACGTTTAGATATAAAGACAATATTTGAAAGAGACTAGAAGGGTGCCATCTTCTTCTACTTCTGCACCCAGTTAATACAATGTTGGAATATTCTTTGACTGTCTGAGAGAATTTACTTGCAAATTGATTTTTTCCTGAGGTCTTTTTTTTTTTTGAGAGTTAACTATAGTTTGTTTAATTTTTTGCTGACATTGTGTTATTTAAATATTCTATTTCTTCTTTTGTTAATTTAGATATTTTGTATTGGATATTTTGTACATGTCATTTAAGTTATTAATGCTATTAATATATAATTGAGAAAAATCATTTAATATATTTTCCTTCTTCATTTTTGTGAACTCCCATTACTCATCTGTAATACGGACAATTGTTTTCCTCTCTTTTTACAACCAGATTAGCTAACTTTTAAACTATTTTATTACTTTCTTCAAAAATCAGCTCCTTATTTTATTTATAAATGTGATGTTTTGCTTTTGCTCTTTTTTTGGCTTTCAATTTTATTAATCTCTTTTTTAATTTTCAGAATGTCTTCTTTGTTGCTTACTTGGGGGGGTTAATTTATAGCTCAAGGTTTTTGTTTTTTTCAGTTGTGTGCTCAATCATGGATTTGTTCTTTTTTTATTTGTTGATGTTGATGTACAGTTCCCACCCCTTTTTTGTTTACAATCATCCAAACAACACAAAACCACCCAGTGGCCTTCTGTCTTACTAACTTTTCTCTAAGACCCTTAAAGATATTAGGTTCTTGAAAAAAATTTATTTCCCCCTTATTGTCATGTAAAAAATTCAGTTTCATATATTTCCAACCAATTAAATAAATGTACATACCTTTCAATGTTTCTCTTGGCTCCTGCATTTCCACTTCCAAAATGTTTATTCAGGTTTGGTCTTTTTTTGGAAATCTATTTCATTAAAAATCCATTTCAGAATTATATTTAATTTTTCTAGATAGGTTATTCTTCGTTGTAAGCCTTCATCTTTTGCAAAAACATATTCCAAGCTTTCCTCTCCTTTACAGTAGTAGTTGCAAAGTAATAGGTGATATTTGTTGTGGCTTCTGGCAACTTGACCTCTTTCTTTTTGGCAGTCTGTAGCATTTTTTTCTCTGACCTGAAATCTCTGGATTTGGACTATGACATTCTTGGAGTTTTCATTTTGCAGTATCTCTCAGTAGATAATCGTTGGATTCTTTCTATTTTCACTTTGAAATCTGGTTGTAAGAATTCTGGTAGTTTTTATTTATAATTTCTTGAAACATGGTACTCAGGAAATTTTTAAAAATCATGATTTTCACATAGTATGATAATTTTTAAGGTATTTCTCCTTGATCTGCTTCTTAGGTCAGTTTTTTGTAATACATATTTTTTTTATATTTCTCTTTTTTCAATCTTTTTATTTTAATAGTTTCATTGAGTCATTGTTTTCTATTGGATCCATTCAAATTTTCAGGGCATTCAGTTCTCGGGTGAGATTTTCCATCATCTATTCTAAAGTGCCAATTCTCCCTGCCATTCTGTCCTGTCTTGCTATTTCATTTTGTATTTCTTGTTTCATTTCTTCCAGGTAATCTATAATCTTTGTAGCCAGGCCTTTTTCTCCCTGAGGCTTTTCACCTAATTGTTGTGGGAAGGCTCTTATCCTTCAGGTTTACTCACAGGATATCTCTAAATCCAAGGTATTTGGTCATAGCATTTACTATTTTATTTTGTTTGTTGATCTCAGCAGCCCCAGTATCTAGGCTGGAGGGAAGGTGGTAAGGAGGAGAAGATGGGGATGCTTGTGTGAAGCTCAGCTCCAGCAATCATAAGTGGTGTGGGGAAGTCCTGCCTGGTTCTGAGTCTGGCCAAGGCTCTGGGGGCTACTCTGATGCTAGACTCTGCATAGGAACTCCCTCTTGTTACAGGGCTTCAGAGATGCTCTGGATAAGCCCTTCTCTCTGGCTGCTGTGCTGCTGCTATGGCTGCCTGGTATGGCGTCTTCATAGATGGGCCTTTCTATTAAACCAGGGCTGTTCCTTCTCCTCCTCTCCTCTCCCACTTCCCTTCTGGGTGTAGCTAGACTCCAGGCAGGCTCAATTCCAAAGCACTCCTCTTCAGGTGTCTGGGGCTACTTTGTGCAGTGTTTTCCACCTTACCTCATTTATCTACTCAAGGTTCTCTGCAGAATCCTATCTTGTCCATCCCTGTATTGGGTGGAGGATTCTACAGGTGATTCTCATTAAGTTTTACTGGAATGTCTGTAGAGGATCTTGGCTCTGGTAGTCCTAACACATTACTATCTTCTGCTCTAAATGCATTTCATTATTTACCTATGTACCCATCCCAGATTTACTACTGGCTTTGGAATTATGGGAAGATTAAAAAGAACAGAGGCCATACATATTCTCTTCATTCCCTTAGTTTCTTAATAAACAGGGACAAACTTGATTATCTGAAGAGCAAGAGCAGCTGGAATAATGTAAAGTGTGTCTATATAAGACTGTAAATTTTGGGCACTAAAACTGTTCCTGGCTGGCTCTATCTATGGGAACATGTAGTATCCTTGAGTACCTAGTACTTGAGCTAACAGGTGCCAGAAAATACATTTATCCTTACATTTATGGCATCGTTTGACCTTCTATTCTGCTACCAACCCTTCATAAAAACCAAGACTTAAAAACACGATGGTAATATAACTGTCTTTAAGTGAATAAGCAATTCTATAAAGCAATATGCACTATAATATTTGTAAGATAACTTTTCATTTCCAAAGACATTGTTTGTAAAATTAATAGAATAATCCAATATCTAGCATGGATGGAAAGGAAACTTAATATTCATGCCAAACACTGAATAAGCATATTTGGCAGAAATGGTGTGGATGTTGGCTCTTTACTATTTTGGCTCTGGAAAGTCTAAGAACTTCACAGATAGTTTTTTATTAAATCTCAGATAATAAATATCATTCCCAAAAGGGGGGAGGGGTCTGAAAGAAAAAGCACAAATTACCTGTAGAGTACAGTTCATCATCCTTACAATGTAGTCAAACTGCTGATGATCTAGTATGGCCCGGTTTTGCTGCACATGTAAACCCAATTCATAGGTAAGACATTGTCGTGCTGCCTTTCCTTTGAGGGCTCTCAATGCAGCAGGAAGAGTCTGAGAACAAGAAAATTTCACTTTACTCATACGACCAAAACCCTAATTCTACTGAAATAAATATGTGAATCATAGCCCACAGGAGATCATTTTAAAACAATAATTCAATTGAATAAGAAGTATTTATTAAATACCCACCATGCAAAAAGCACTGTTAGTTACTGGAAACAAACAAATAAACGACTCCAAACTATGTTCTGGCGGACAATCAAGGAACTTACAGTCTACTACAGGTGTGTTTGTGTGTGTGCATGCACAAACAGAATATGTACATGAATGAACATAATAAAAGGCAGTTTGAAGGAGAATAAAGTAATGGCTTTGAGTAGGAAGCAGCACATGAGCTGGGCAGTAAAAGAAGCCAGAAGTCTGAGAAACTGAGATGATGGGGTGATGCATTCCAGGTTCTTGGGACAGCCACTGTGAATGAAAAGAGAGCAGAGAAAGCCTAAATTGGCTAGAACAGAATTCATGAAAAAGCAAATATGGCAGGAAAAGTAGGTAGAATCCAGTTTGTGGAGAGCCTTAAACACTAGAATAAGAGCGTATATTTTATCCTAAAGGCAATGGGGAGCCACTGATGGCTTTCAGGGTCAGAACCTTGTCACATAAAGGATATTTGGGGCAACTATGTGGAGACTAGATTGGAGAGAGAGTTGACTGGATGGAGGGTGACCAGTAGGGGTCTGGGCAAGAGGAGATAAGAGCCTGAACTAGGGTGATGGCAATGTGAATGGAGAGAAAGGGAAAGATATGAGAGATCAAGAATGTGCATCATGATACAGCAATTTATTGGATATGGAAGATGGGATAAGAATGACTTTGAAGCTATAAATTTGGGTGGCTGGGAGAATAGCGGTGACTTTAACATCAATAGGGAATGTTTAATGACAATAATAATAATAACAGCTAACTTTTCCATAGCACCCACAACATGCTAGATACTTTGCTATGCACTTTATAGATATTATTTCATTTGATCCTTACGACAACCCTGGAGGTAGATACTATTATGGTACCCATTTTACAGTTGAGGAAACAGAGGCAAAAGAGGTTAAATGACTTGCCCCAGGTCACCCAGCTAGTAAGTATATGAGGTGGTATTTGAACTCGTCTTCTTAATTCTAGGCCCAGCATTCTATCCATTGTACCACCTAGCTGCCTCAGAACGTTTAGAAGATGGGCATTTGGAGGGAAGATAATGACTTCTATTTGGATAGAATCTGAGATGCCAATGGGACAATCAAGAGGTCTGTAGGAGTCATCTGCACGAAGATAACACTTGAACTCAAGCCTGCTGATGAGATTTGCCAAGAGTGAAGAACAGAGAGCCTAAGAGAGAATTCTAGGTAACAAACATGCTTTCCAGGGTCAGGGAACCTAGCTGGGCAATGATGATCAGCAAAGGAAACTGAGAAATGGTCAAAGAAGCACAAGCAAAGTAAGTGACGGAGAAAACCAACAGAGCAGTGTCATGGGAGCCAAGGTAGAGAAAAGCATCTATGAGAAAGGGGGCTGGGTGTTCAACAATGTTAGAAGCACAGCAAGGTAAAGGAGGATTAAACCTTAGCAAAGATAATCAGAGTTAACTGCTAAGAAGTCACTTGAGTTGGGAAAGTTTTAGCAGAGGTCAGAGGTCAGATTACATGAGAGTGAGTAGTTGATGAAGTGGAGGCAGAGATAATTTTTCTAGGTGTCTGACAGTGAAAGGAAGAAGAAAAAAAAGAGATGGTATGGCAGTTTGAGGAAACAACAGGAAGGTTTTCTGTTTGTTTGTTTGTTTTTTAAGGATGGGATGGACTGGCACATAATTGTAGGTAGAAGAAAAGGACCTAGCAGAAAAGAGAGATTGAAGATAAAAGAGAAGGAATGACGGATGTGGCAAACTTTCTAGAAAGTAAAGGAGGGGATGGGATAGCAGGCAGAAGTAGAGTATAGGCAAGATGATCTCATTCTTGGAGAGTGGCACAAAGAAGCAGATAATGGGTGAAGATATACAGGGCTTTTGAGGTGCAGAGTAGTAGAAAAAAACAACTCATGATAGATGGCCTCAGTTTTCTATTTTAGAAGGTTATATCTGCTGAGATTGGTGGACCATAGGGTAAAATTGTGGTCTTGAAGAAAGATGAGAAGATTTTGAACAACTGCTAAGGGGAATGAGATAGAGTTAAATCAAAGAAGAACAAAAGGACTGCCACTGCAACAGTAATGGCCCAATTGAGATGAAATAGCATGAATCCATAAGGGATTTGTTTGGTGTGGTTGTGTGACTTCCTTTAGTCACATTCAACAGCATAAGAGTAAAAGTGGATAAGGAGGACAGTAGGAGTGATCCAGTGACAGCTGAGAGTAAACAGCAGAACAATGACAGAATAAGGGAGTCAAGAGTGGAGGTCAACGTATAGAGTAAAAATTATAAAGGGAAGAAAGTGAGGCTAGATCAAACTTGGATGAGAGATTAGGAGGGAGAGAGAAGGGAGAAAAGGAGGGCCAGAAGTTTTCTGGGGTAAGAAAAGTGAGGCAGAAGATAAGATGGAAGAACAGTAGATTATGATCAGAAGAGAATCCTGAAGTTCGAACCTGAGAGATGACCAAGTTATGAGTGATGCTTAGACATAATGTATGGCCATTGCCTGTGTATGGCTGACATTAAGTAATCAATCAACATTTATTACGCACTTACTATGTTTCAGGCATGAGCTAAGTGTTAGACATAGAATTAAGATGTACCTCATAGGAGCTGAAGAGGGTGAAGAACTTGGAGGTGGGGTTGTTTAAAGGGACAACAACATACAAACTGAAATCTCCAAGTATGAAGGAAGGAGACTGAGCCAGATCCTGAACTTTTTTTTTTTTGATCCTGAACTTATTGAGAAAGAAAGGAAAGCTGACTTAGAGACCAGTTGAGTACAGCCACAAGAATCTACTCTATGAACTAGAGAGAGATGGAGTGAACCACAAAGGAGAAGGGGTTGCTGACTGGTGATAGAGGGAGGAGCTGAGAATGATGACAGGGAGCAAGGAATATGCATATGTGTCTTCCTGGTCTAGCATTCTATGGGAATATGAAAGAAAAGCAACCAGCATGAGAGACAACATGGCCAGAGACATGATGAATTTTAAAAAATCTTAAAAAAAAAAAAAGATTCCAAATGAAGACTCCTGAGAAAGGCATCATTATAGTAAGCAGAGGGGAGGCATTAGAGTTAGGAGCATCTGGGGCTCAAGCCGGGACTTTGATGCATATTAACTGTGCACCTGGGCAAGTCACTTAACTGCTGGGAACTACAGGCCAAATTCTACATCTGTGTCTAGCAGAGAAAGGGTTAAACTTCTCTGGGGCAGGGAGTTTCCTATATGACTGAAATCACAGCTTTTAGGGTAGGAAGGGGACATTAAACAGAGAGATTGTCACTTGATTTTAAGTTACAAGGAAGCAAATATAGTAAAAATTTCACATCCACCTTTAGAAGTAGAATTATAAGTATCTGTTGGAATCACTGAAGATCAACTTATTTAGGTCTTGTGTACTAATTTTATGAAAAAGTTTGTCATATAATTCACTACTGTTACAAGACCATGAGTCAGACTTTCACATAAATTTGGCTGATTCTCTATAACAAAGATAATCAGAAAACTCTGAAAAGCAACAGCTTTTACATATTGAAATTGGTCAGCCTCTGCTAGAGTCCCTCATTAAAAATCAATCTTGGGTTCTCACAAGTTATGCCAGCAGAACTTAAGCTCTAAGGAGTCCTCCTCAGGGGGGACATTTTGTTTAAATGGGCCCAGGGACAGACCTTGACCCAAGGACCAGCTCAGCTAAAGAGAATCTCATCAACAGATGGTTGGCAACTTGGTGCTGAGATCCTGGCTCTGCATCCATTGGAATATGGAAAGGCTGTTAGTAGCTTTAGGGTAAGGAATACCTATACCAACAAAATCATGGATCTTTCAAAGTATCAACGTTTTCTGACCAGATGTTTAACTGTAGTTCAACCCTTGATTTGTAGAAAAATTATTTTCTAATCTGAAAAGAACTCAAATAAATCTACTGGGGAAAAGAGCATATATTAATGTCTCACTTAAAAACTTCAACTATTTAGAATAGATACCCAAGTTATGGGCAAAAAAAGGACTCTGAGAAGCCAAAATAGCTGTCATAAAGTTCATGCACAAAAGTTCATGTACTTTTCTTAAGGAAGCTCTTCAACTTTTCATTCACAGACCATTTATTTTCACTTTATATATAATTCTAAAAAGTTTCATTATCTGGTTCTTCAGTTCAAATTATATTTTATTGTTCATTCATTTCAGTTGTGTCTGACCCTTCATGATCCCATCTTAGGGTTTTCCTGACAAAGATACTGAAGCTTATTTGCCATTTCCTTCTCCAGCTCATTTTATAGATGAAGAAATTGAGGCAAAGAGGGTTAAGTGACTTGTCCAGGGTCATATAGCTAGTAAATGTCTGAGGCCAGATGTGAATTCAGGAAGATAAGTCTTCCTTACTCTAGGCCTAGCACTCTCTCTATTGTGCCACCTATCTCTCTCCAAATTATATTAAAAAGCAGCAAATTAAAGAGAACTGGGAGAAGACCAAGGAGATAGGAACAGTGACAGCAGCAAGAAGGGAAAATCTGATGGTAGTAATGGGGGAAGATCAGAAAACTACTAAAGCAGACAAAAGAACCCCATAAGCACAGCAGCTCGGGGCCACCTGAGAGAAAGAGAGAGACAGAGAGAGACAGAGAGAGAGAGAAAGAGAGTCATCTACTCCAGCAATCCTCAATAGGCCTGAAAAGGCTCAATGTGCAATACACAGTATAACACTTGGTACTTGGAAAGATTCTGAATCATCTAGACAAGATTAAAGGTCAAAAAATTTGTTCTGCATACTCTATTTAATAAAGCAGAAAAGAATTTAATATATTTTAATAAATATTCTATGCTAAATGGTTAAAAGAAAATAAGTTTTGATAACTAAAGAAGTTTTAGGTATCTGTAAAATACACTTCTGTGGAATAGCTAAAATCCTTCACAATGCAGACAATTATGCCAAAACTTTGAAAAAAATTTTCTGAAAAGTCCAAGAATAATATTTCATTGCCAGCTCTTGCCAGGTTAAATAAAATAAAGAACTATATGTGGAACTTAATTGGCAGCAATATCATCTTCTGTAGTTTTAATTTGGATACATAATCATATTCATTTCAAATTACCAAAACAGGTCATGAATCTGGTAAAAGAAAAATGGACAGGGTTTGTGGAAAGGTTCATTGGTAATTTAACATGAGTAAATTTAACATGGAAACAAGCAAACACGTACTTTGGCAAATAAACTTTAAAAAATTACCTTTTCAGTTTCTAATACTTTATTTTCAAATATGAAGGAGATGCAGTTTCTAACAACTTCCAGTCTTTGAGCACTGTTGAACACTGTTGTCACCTTATCCATGATTGAAACTAGCAAAGAAACAGAAATATCAGTCAATTACCTTCAGAAGACCCAAAGACCAAAAGAATGCTGCTTGAAGCCTTCTGAGATCCCAGTCCACGGTCACTTCCCATTGCACTACTCTATGTCGCTCTTCTGGCTGTGCAGTCACCGGGCGAGTGTTGGGGTGGCTAAGGATCAGTGCCATAGATCTCACATACTAGATCTCTATGAGGTATCTGGCTCTTAGGCAAGGCAATGATGTTAGGCAATGATAAAATATATGCTTACAAGTTTGATGTAAATTGAAAAGCCTTAAGAAAAACTTACTTTCCAACTTTACAAGAAGAGAAATAATGCAATAATCCATAAAATAAATTAAATACTTCTAAATTTCCTAAAGGAAGTATGCTTCTAAGAAAATTTTTACATTTTGCTATTATTTTTAAACTTCAGATAATAAAATCTACTAGGTTAGGGCCATCTAATTAACTGAGGGAAAGAGGCTGTCTGAAAAGTCTCAGGTGAGGTTTTAACCTAATAATGGAGGGTAAAAGAGAAACTTGCCTGTGCATATCTGTTAAATCAGATACATTAGAGAATTGCATAAAGTTGTAGGAAAAATTGTAGTGAATACGTCAAGTAATTAACAAGGGACAATAAGAAAGAACATAGATGACTACCAGATCTCCATTTCTCATTCTAATCTCTCCTCTGACAGGGTAGCTAGGTGGCACAGTGGATAGAGCTCCAGTCAGAAGGAGCTGAGTTCAAATTTGGCCTCAGACACTTGACACTTACCAGCTGTGTGACCCTGGGCAAGTCACTTAACCCCAATTGCCTCATATTAAATAAAAAAACAAAAAAAACCTAATTTCTCATCTGAGCCACACACTCATGATTCCAAGTCCCTAGGATAGTTCTACTTACATGTCCCACTGGCACTTTAAACTCAACCTGTCCCAAACTGAGCTTGTTATCCTTATCTAAAATCCTGCTCCTTCTGATTTCACTAATCCTGCTTGTAGTATCAATATTCACTCAGTAGCTCAAGTTTGAATTTTTTTTTGGGGGGGATGGGGTAATGTGTGGTTTCTCTCTTTCTCCCTTTCCTCCCCCTTCTTTTTTTCTGTCTCCCCTTTCTTACTCTTTTCTGCTTTCTCCCTCCATTTCCCTCCTCTTTCTATCTCTTTCTGTGTCTCTCCTCCTTCTCTGTCTTCCTTTTTCTCTCCCTCGATATTCAATGTTCTTCCTTTTTCACCTCTGTAATACCTCTTCTGCACCTGTTCTCTGCCTTATTCCATTCCTGCTACCGCAGTACAGTTTAACTTTAATGCTTCCCAAAGAAATGGGCTTTTATCTAAAATATTATTGCTTTCAGATACTAACATAGTGTTCTGTATGTAGGTGTTTAATAAATGTTTATTAAATTAATGACTCAAGGAAGAACTAATGACACTCATAGCTTCAGATGTCTATACACAGAATATGGGTAATAAACTAAGTGAACTAACCGAGCTTAATAAACAGAGACAGCACAACTTCAGAGTTATCATTTGGTGAGGGTGTGATTCAAGACTGGAATATAATAACAGAAGCATGTTTATTTAAAAGAAACAGATTAGATGAAAAGGCTAGAGTGTAACCCTAAATGTGAAGAAGATATACGCTTTGTGGAGAAATCTATGCATCAGCCAAGAGATACAAAGTGGAAAGAAATTGGATGAGGATCAGTGGACAGAGGAAGAGAAGGAACATTGTGATACTAATATATTAACCCCAACTAGCTATTAGAGGAGATTGGCTGAGAAGCTCCTGAAGCTAATCATAATAGTAGTACAGAGACACAAGATAATAGGCACACACAGGGGATTATTGGGATATCTGTTAGAATTCTTTGTCTTTGAAAAGTAGAACAGCTGATAACTTTCCTTGATGATAACTTCAAAGTTAAAAAGGCTTGGAAGGATCAGTAAGGGGAATTGCTGTGCTGGACTAGCTACCTTTCATCTCTTTTGCACGTAACTTGCATGTATCTATTTATGTATATGTTGTCCCCCGCCCTCCCCATTAGAATGTAAACTCCTTGAGGACAGGGACTGTTTGGGATTTTTCTTTCTTTATTCAGGGCTTAGTACAATGCCAGTAACATAATAATCTGTTTAATAAATACTTGTTGATTAATTGAATTCCAAGCACTGGGTGAATTTGACATTCTATTTCCCAACACAGGGATGTACGATCACTGTTTCTAAAATATTTGAAGGACTGCCATATGAAAGACGGATTACACTTACTCTATTTAGCTCCAGAGACCAAAACTAGAACCAACAGATAGAAGTTAAAGGAGGCAGATTTTGGTTTCACATGAAGAACTGAACTGAAGCTGTAACAAATGGAACAGGCTACCAAGTAGTGCGCTCACAATCTCTGGATGTGCTCCAGGAGACATCTGATGACCTCTTCCCCAAAACAGAGATGATTATCTTCTCCCTAAACGTGTCCTTCTTCCAAACTTTCCTCTTTTTCTTTAGAGTTCCACTGGCCTTCCTTGTCAGGACAGGGTCCCTCAATCTTTCCTGGTCCAGATGCCCAACTCCCCTCACTCTCCCAGGAGTAAAAGTTCCTGTGACAGCAGCCTCCCAACCCAGCTAACCCCAGGGCTTGTTACTCAAGCAGAACTAGCCTGGAGGTGTTTATTCTTCACAGGGACCAAACCTCTTCCTCCGGATTTTTCTTCAGATCTTCTCCAATTGTTCCAGGAGGACCACTGTTCTGCCCCTACTCTCATTTATTTTTACTGCTTTATGCTGGCCCTGAGGTGCTATTTGATCAGTCCTTAGTGGGGAAAATCTGGAGAGCTTAGGATTTTCTGACCTACTCTGCCATCTTCCCAGAATCCTATTGTTTTTTTCTAAGGGGAAAGATCTTCAGACTGGCAGTACATGTAGAAAAGAAACAGTAAACAAGGAACTGAAACCCCAGGTAAATGAGGAAATGGCTCCACAGAAAATATACCCCAAGTTACCAAAAACAAGCCATTGATATTGTTGCTGGGATGCTGTCAATGATCTATGAAAAACTGCAGAGCTTGAAAGAGGTACTTAAGGATTAGAAATGAACAAATCTTACAGTTTTTAAAATGAGGCATGAATGGTCTAATGAGCTTCTTTGCAATTCCTGACAAAAATTCCAGAACAAATGATTAAAAGAATAGTTTGTGAGCAGCTATAAAGGGAGGTGCTGATCATTAAGAGCCAGCATGGATTCGTGAAGAACAAGCCATGCCAGTGTTACCAGGGACCAGGCTTCTCTTTGTGCCCCAGTGATGAGTCAAGGACTACATCTGTTTCTTCTGAATCCCTAATCTGGGGTTCTTCCACTATACCAGGATTTCACTTTCATTCATCTTCATTCTTTGGGTTTTTTCCTTCTTTGAAATTCTCAGCGAGCAGATTAAAACTAATTAGCTTCTAAATCTTTAAAGATTAAAATCTGCTTCAGGTGGTACAGGCAATTCTGCAAGTCTATGAAATACTAACTGTATAACGAAGCATTTTCAATTTTTCGTGTGTAATGAAATAGCAAGTAGGATGCAGGCTTTGCCAACTTTTATTTTCGCCTTACAGGAAGGGCTGCTGGGGCTAGATTCTTGGATGCACACGTGCAGCTCCCACTGAGTCCAGTGGGACCTTCCACATGAATCTGAGGAAAGAATTTGGCCTAAATTATGCTGATGAAGCAAATGAGGATTCTGAAGAGAAGGAGATTACAAAAAAGGAAACAAATGAAGGCTACTGTCCAACTAAATTCAACTGGGAACAAATTCCCCTTCTACCTGTCCCAAGACAGTTATAAAAAAAGAATCAAACTAACCATAATTATGTAACAAATCCATTAAAAATGTAATTGCCTAAAAATTCTCAAATTGGCCTTTCTTAATCCTCATAGGTATACACAGTAGCGAATTAGAGCTTTGAATTCTTATAAAGAGCCTGAGTCAATGAACAAGACAACATAAGCAACATCAAAAAGGAGCCCAATACACATACCAACAGGTGGGCCTGCTGGCACAACACATTTCTTCTCCACTCGAGAAGTAGGAGGCGCAAGCTGGTTCTTTGCAAGACCTTCCTGTATCAGCTCCTGAACCCTGGCCTCATTAATCTTCGGGAAAGGAAGTATGTGAACTCGCAAGTGTGAACCTTCTGTGGGGCGTGGAACTTTCTGGAATGCCATGTGAGGATTTGGGTTTTCCTGCAAAAGAGTAAATTTAGGGAAAATTATGTCAACAGTTCATTGAATGTAACAACAGTGTGGGGAACAAGTTGAACGAGAAAATGAAGATCAGGCAGGAAATGGAAAAAAAAAGATTAGTCTATTACAATCCAGCAATTTCTTTCAGGGTAATCTTTCATGACATACTCATTTTGAAGCTCTTTCAAGTCAGGGTCTATGTCTTTATCCTTTGTATATCCTACCTAGTCTCATTGCTTCTTCCCACAAACAGTGAATAATAAAATGAATAAATGCTGTTTACTTGTTTGCTGACTTCAGTTTAGCAGTTTATAATAGCAATTCACATTTACAGCACTCTACAAGCACAAAATTAAATTGAATATAATCAAGTCAACAGATTAAATTGGGGCCCATGCAACAAACAAAAATGGCTACCACTGATAAGAAAGTAAGGCTATGTTGTAGGGCTTTCATAACTGGAAGGTAACAGGGAAGGATGAGTCAAGGACAACTCTGATTTTGGAGGCCCTGAATACCAGGAGGATCATGGGAAATGAGAAAGTGTGGAGGAGGGGCAGATGGTGTAGGGTTAGATTGTTAATTTGACAAGTTGGGGAATGGGATTCTGAGAAGCACAGGCTGGCTGTCCACATTCTGAGTCACCCACAAGCATTCAAAGCTGAAAATACAGTTCAGAAAACACAATTCAAAGCTGAATACAGTGTGCTGAATTACCTTTCTTATGCATTCCACTACAGGATTTCCCAGGATTCAGAGCCTATTCACAAGAGAGCTAAAAGGACTTAATTAAAATCTCTCAGGAAGTAAGCAGAGGAGCTGAAATCCAATCCCAGGTGCTCTGACTCCCTGGCCTGTCAGTGTTCTTGCTGCTTGGCCTCAACATCCCCCACAACCCTAAACAGCCAGGGTAAAGGTCCATTCTGGTCAAGGTAAAACATGGTCATGGGATCATGGAATTATAGATCCAGAGATCCTCAGAGGCCAACTTAGTAGTACAACTTCCTCATTACAGAGATGAAGAATTGGGGCCCAAAGAGGTTCAATGACTTGTCTAAAGTCACACAAGTAAGTGTGGGAGGTAGGATTTGAACCCAGGCCCTGACTCTAGAGTCTGTGTTCCTTTAGAAGTGAGACTGAATTTTCATGTGTATAGGCAGGTTTCACTAGAATAAAGTCTAGAGATGAATTCTGCTTGGTCATGGTTCATTCATTTGAGTTTAGGAAATTAAAATAAGACTCTTCCAAATTGATGCTCTTGTGATGTCATAGCCCTCGTGCTGCTGCCCTCTACTGGGCAGAGGAACAAATGACAACTTTTGTGTCTAAATTAGAGGACCCCATTCACATTAGTTACATAGATTCATAGAACAAATGACATTGGTCTACAAAGGAGCTTCAGAAAATATGATCTAGTCATGCGCTGGAACAGTGAAAGTCTCTAAATGGTCTCGGGCTTCTAGTATTTAACAGTCTTCCTATAGCTAAAATGAATTTTAATTGATTTTTTTTTTATATTACAAGGATCAGAGATATAGAGACATAAGAAATCATTTAGTCTAATGCTCTCATTTTACAAATGAGGACAATGACGTCTGGAGAAGTTATGTGACGTGTTCGGTGTCATACCACTAGTAAGTTTTAGGACAGGATTCAAACTTGGGTCCTTTGACTCACAGTCCAGTGCTCTTCCCTCTCCTGGCTCTTCTTCTGACTCTCCACTCCACGCATCAGGTGCCTTCATTCCCCTCCCCCTCAGATATCCTCTTATCCCACTGTTAAAACACTTCCATGGCCTCCATTTCGGGGAGGGCCAGATCTGCCATCTTTTGGCTCTGTTCCTTCCCTCACCCCTTCAGCTCCCTTTTATGTGGTATTTTCCCTCATTAAAATGTAAGCTCCTTCCTTACAGGCAGGTACTGGCTTTCTTTTTGCTTGTAGTAGTATTCCCAGCACTTAGCATAGTGCCTGGCATACAGTTAAGTGCTTAATAGATGTTTGTTGACTGACTAAATCAAGTTGTCTTCACAAATTACAAATATTAAATGAGATAATGAATGTAAAAACTCTTCTAAAGCTTTCTAAACTGGAAAACCTATATAAAAATATGGTGATGGTATTATCATCAGCCTACAAATGCAGGCTGATTTTTATTTTTCATTAAGGAAAAATATTTTTTTTCCACTGAAGAGAAGGGAAATTAATTTGTCCCTTGATTCAGTAAGGAATTCAAATACAAAGAAAAGGCAAAAAATTTAGACAGCTTCAGAGAATTTGGCAAAGATTCCTCCAAAAGGACCAGACTGAATTGCCTGAGAGAGCTGCTGTCCCAATATCTTTCTTCTTTCAGTCACAATCCTGACCTGTCAAAAAGTCTTACAAATTGCTGTGTACTCCAGAAGGAATGTTTAGTGGCCCTGAGAACAAGGCCGTGATAGGGAGGGAGACAGGCTTCCCCCTACCCAAATCCCCAGTTATGAAAGACATTCATTCTGAAGTATGGAAACAGATGGATTTGGGGAGGCAGACTAAGTGAGAATACATCTTCAGGTCTATGGAAAATAAGGCTGAAGATGAGGAAAATACAAAAAAACCCCTCCAATCAAAAAAACTCAACTGGAAATTTACAAGAGGCAAACATATTAATAGCTACTATATTAAGAAACAATGCAGTCATTACGCCCAGATGCTAATCCTTGCCCTGAGTAAGGGGCAGTATAATATGATGTGCATTAATTAGAAGCTACCAATCTCCTTAGAGAAGAGTATTTTCTAAAGTAACAATAAATTAGGGGAGACCTAATGCAGCTGAATTCCCAGATGACTCCAAGGCCTATTAGTGAGGGTCACAGTCCCCTCTCCTACAGAGAATATTGGGGTTTCACCTACTAGGTACAAGTTGGGCAATTTTCTTCCTTCCTCAATAAAACAACTTTGTGCCTCACCCCTCAATAAGAAGAGGAATGAGGGCACACTCCCTTCCAGAATATAAGAAAAGCTGCTCTGGGCACTAGGTTCAAAAGGGGCCTGCTCTGCTTCCAGGAAGGCTGCTGCCATGCCTCTGAGTGACTCACAGGATTCACATCCATCTTTCCCATCTGTCTAATATCCCTCCCTGCTGACCCATGAGGGACCAGGTTGGGTGAAAATGACTGAAGAACAGAGGCACAGGCAGGACATGAGGAGATTAGCACAATTCTGATAGGTCTATGGGGACTGTTTTGATACCAGCTCAACACCAAGCACATGGCACCAAATTGGTAGCCAGGGGCATGGCTTTTGTTTACTAAATATTTACTGACTACTCTAAAGAGCTTGCGCCAGGTGTTGTGTGTGTAGATACAAAGATGTAGAAGATAGTTGGCTCTCTTAACTGACAGCACATACATATGAATGACAATTATATAAGGAAGTAGGTGGAAGATGCCATGTGAATGGAACAGAATAGATGCACTACAGGGAGATCAGCACTTTCAAGGGTGGCCGGATAAGGCTCCACCTACTCAGAGATCCAGTGACCCTGGCCTCCCCGCTGCTTCTCAAACATGACATACAATTTCTGGACTCAGGGCATTTTCAGTGGCTGTGCTTCATGTCTAGGACTCTGCCCCCTGGCGTCCTTCAAGTCTCAGCTAAAGTCCCATATTCTCCAAGAAGCCTTTTCTAGTCTTCCTTAAAAGTTGTGCCTTCTGTCTGAGGTTGTATCTTGGTTGTATATAAGTGTTTGCAGGATGTCACAGACCATTAGACTGTGAGCTCCTTGCAGCAGAGACTGATTTTGTTTTGTTTTACTTTGTATCTTGAGTGATAAGCACAGTGCCTAGCATTGTGTTCTCGTCTGACTGGAGCTTCTTGAGGAATCAGGTGGGGAGTTGTAGATTCCAGCTTCTCTGGATGATAGCTATGTGGGGCAGTGACAGTTCCAGGGCTTTGAGGCTCAGAGGCCCCTGCATTGGCGGTAAAGGTAGTGGTGGTGGCTTGACCTGCCTGGTACATGCTACCCTTGTCTCTCCCTCAGACACTTAGCCATATACATATGCACTTCATAACCAGGGTGCTCTAAGTTTTTATAGCTCTTTCCATTAACATTTTGTATATTTATGGGACACTGTGTCCCAGGTTTATGAGGAAAGTGTTTTGTAGCTACTCTTCATACTATACCATCTTAATAAATATCTTTGCTTTGAGTTAGGTGGTGCAGTGGATAAAGTGCTGGGCCTGGAGTCAAGAAGACCTGAGTGCAAATCCAGTCTCAGAAACTAGCTGTGTGACTATGAGCAAGTCATTTTAGCTGCTTGCCTCAGTTATCTCAACTGTAAAATGGGAATAATATAGTACCTATCTCACAGGGTCATTGGGAGGAGCAAATAAGATATTATTTGCAAAGTGCTTCATACAGTGCCTGGAACATAGTAGGTGCTATATATATGCTAGTTATTAATAATAACAATGTTGATTATAATAATAATTGTGACTACTGACCATCAAAGATAAACTCGCTGGGTATAGAGATTTAGGAATTTGTAACTAGGGTAACCTTTGAACCTGAGGGTGCTAGCCTCTAATGCAGCTGAGCCCTCTAAGGACTATAGGTGAGGGTGACAATGCACTCTCCTACAGAGAACACTGAAATTTTACCTACTGGGTACAACATGGGCAGATTCCTTTCTCCCTAGAGAGTATACTACGTTCATAAGACAGGTTTTTAAGTCTCTTTGCTATTCCCCTTTTGTCTCCCTGTTTGTTAATATGTCCCTTAAACTGTGGCAACCAGAATTAAACATAATATTCTAGGTATAACTGCACTAGTACAGAGTATGATAGGAAGTTGAATAATATGATACCTTTACAGTTTCCTTGCAACAGTCTTGTGAGGTAGCCAATTATTAGCCCCTCATCTGAGGAAGCCAAAGCTGTATTACAGGACCAACATATTTAGAATTGGTAGGCACCTCAGAAATCTCTTCCAACTCTTTCATTGCACAGATAAAATAACTGAG